GCGACTAAGACTGGGATTCAAACTGCATGGTCCTCCGTGTGGACGCCAGCTCCCTTAATCACAAGGTCATGAGGCTCGCCTGACTGTGATGCGATTCTAATCTCTCTGTCTTGAGTTTGAGGTCCCCTATGCAGCCTGTCTCCCTCCCATGGATGATTTCAGTGGTTAGAATCTCCCTTCCTTTTGGTACCAAATACAAAATGTAACCCTTATTCTTGAGTTCCTTGCTATAGGAACTGTGATTCACAGACCAGCAACATCGGCATCACTGAGAACACTTCGGAAATGCAGTCTTAAGTCCTACCCCAGATTTACTGAATGAATAGTTCCTTTTAAAATATTCCCAGGAGGGGCAGGCAGGTGGCATGGGATAAAGTGGCTATATTTCACATGGCCGACTGTGTGGTTGAATGCTGGACCCAGCAGCTTGCAAAACATGCAGGGTAGGGAACCAGCAGTTAGCGTAATGGCTATGTCGCTGGACTCCCATGTAGTTGACCACGGTTCGCATCCCAGACCTGGTGGCTTAGAACTCACGCCGGGCACGTGTGCGTGCGTGCCCAAGATCCTGAGAGGAGAATGGAGGAGAAGGGATTGCGGCGTGACCATCCCCCCTGGGGGGTGATTTCTCGCTTTCTGTCTCTATGTCTCTCTCTGTCTGTCTGGTGAGCGCACGCACCCTATAGCGAAAAACCGCTAAAAAAAAAAAAAATGCAGGGCATATGTGTGTACATGCCCAAAATCCCGAGAGGAGAATGGAGAAGGGATATGGTGTGGCCATATCCCCTCCTCCTCAGGGGGTGCTTTCTCACTTTCCCTCTGTCTTTTCCCCAGTAAGTGTATACACCCTCTGGCAAAATTACAAAAAGAAATAAAACAAAAAAACTAAGAAACCCGTGGCCAGGTGGTGGCACAGCTGTCACACAACTGGACCCACATGGAGGTCCCAAGTTCATGTCTACAGAACTCCCTGAATATGTGGGGTACCAGCATGCATGTCCAAGATGCAGGCCAGGTGAGACTGGGGGTGGATAGTGGTCTGAAGACCACATTGGGGGTGCTTTATGTCTCTCTCACTCAAGGAAGAAATAAATAAACTTTTTTTTTTTTTTTTAGGTTTTTGCCATAGGACACATGTGCTTGATGGAAAGGAGACAGAGAGACATAGTGAGAGGGAAAGTGAGAAATCACCCTTGCAGGGAGGATGGTCACACCACAGTCCCTTCTCCTCCATTCTCCTGAGATGTTGGGCATGCACGCACACGGGCCCAGCATGATTTTCAAGTCACCAGATCCAGGTCTTGAACGGCAGTCAGCTATGTGGGAGTCCAGCACCTTAACCACCATGCCACCTGCTAGCCCCAGAGATAAACAAACTTCAAGAAAAGGAAATCTGGAGTGCGTGCTGTTTGGCCGCTCTCCGGCCCCGTTCTGGGGGGGGGGGCTTTCTTTT